TGAATATTAGAGTTTTTTTTTTTCCAATAATTTATTCAAAAATAAATTCCAAAACTTTTAATTTATATGTATTTTTTAAAAATAAATAAATCAATGAATTAAGATATTTGGTATTTCATTTTCATTCTATTAAATAAATAAATAAAATATTTTTAGAAGAAATAAATAAATGAAGTTGATAGCAATCTTTCAACTAAAGATTTAAATATTCGTATTAATTTGGAAAATAGATAAATTATAATGATGTTATTGGCTAGCTTTCAACGAAATTTATTTGAAATTATGGAAGAAATTCAATAGTTTAATTATTATTTTAATGCTTTTCTTCTATTTTCTTGTTGTATTATTCCAAATAATTATAATAAGTGATAAATAAAAACAACTTAATTAATCAAAAGTTATTATCACATAATTTAATCAATTATCTTATTAGCATTAACGAATTAATTAAAATATGAATTAGTTTGTTGATTTTTGTGATGTTTTTGTGTTCAAAATTTTAAAATGCCCAATGACGTAACACCAAATATAATTAACCAATGACCAAGTCATTATTGATGACAGAATAATGTGGCCTTTTTCTTTTTTCATAAAGGTTTTGAAATTTCGAAATAAATATAACGTTTAGAGAGAATGTATTACTTGTGAAAACGTCGTTTAAAACCCATGTGGACCATTAGGTCAATTGAAACAAGTTTTGGAGTCGCAGGTCCATTCACCAGACAGAGAATGTAACAATCCAAATCCACTACTATCACGGTGTTTAAACGCATCTATTAGGGAGATATTTCCATACTCTTATAAAAAAAATTGTTCATTCGCCTCCTCCCCCAACTGATGTGAGATCAGTACATATTCACTTTGTCGTCTTTTGGAGTTTAATTGGTTGATGTCATCATTTATAGCTATGACATATAGATATTCTAATCGTGGCTAGATATCGGTATAACCAAATAATGATTATTATTGATTCTATTTTTTCTAATAATTAATTTGATATTAAAAATTTCAAATTTGTCCGCGCAATTCAATATCTTAATGGTTAAGTTTACATATTATTCAAATTACATATTGGCATTTTAAAAAACAAATAATTATAGTCTACATCAAATGTATGAATACTTGACTTTCCTAGGGGCTTCTTAGCAAATACCAAGTCATGGGGGCCTCAATTTGCAATAATTTATTGCAATAACAGATAATTTCGAATTTTTTTTGTAATAATAATAATAATAATAATAATAATAATAAAAACATTAGAAAAAGATTGGATGACATAATTAAATTGACGTCAGCAGGGGCCGAAAAAATAAAGAAAATGTTTAATGGAAAATATTGCTGGCAAGTGGCAATGACGGTAAGAAGATTTTAAAAGTCATTATGTCGACAATATGATAATATAAAATAAAAAATAATTTATTCCAAACAAAAAAATTGAATGCAGATTTGGACGGCAAGAAGACTTGTGGAAAGTCACGAGATGACACGAAGAGAATTGGGGAATCAAAATTTAGGATGTAATTAATATTACAAATATTGAAATAAATAAATAAAATATAATTGGATTAATTGGATTATTCGAATTATTGGGCCTTTGGAAGGATTGAAGGAAATAAGATGTTTCGGCCCAATGATATAAAATGGGCCGTGGAAAGATGAGCCGGCCCAAATGTAAAAAGATATTTGTTTCATTATTTTGGAAATTAAATAGAAAATTATGAAAGGCAGAAGTGTAATTAACGAACATAACAGAAGAACAACATATTTTTCTGCAAACTAAGATTGCCATGTTTCTCTCACTTCATTTTAGTGAGAGAAATAGTGATGTTGACGAACTCAAGCTTCTCTTTGGCCATTCGATCCACGATAATCTCTCCATATCTTATGAATAATTCATCCATCATTGCTTCGCCAAAGTGGCTTACTAGAATTGGCTCAGCCACTGCCCTCATGTACTTGGCTACGTTGTACCCACCAGCTCTTAACTCATTGGATTCATCGTTGTTATTATACACATTCCAATCCACCTTCGAAACTTGGATTCGATTGATCACGAAAGAGCCTTCTTTTCCGATCTCGATACTCATTTCGGTTGGCGATGGCATGTACTTGGGAAGGTTGAAACTTTCCAGCTTCTCCTCTTCTATGATTCCCTGTGTTTGGTTGATGCAAACAGAAAAATGAATAAAACCCTTTTGTATGCATGTTCCTGTTATAATATTTACGTGGTTTAGAGACAGGAAATTTCTGTACATTCACGTGATTCAAAGAGACACGAACTTTGTGTTTGACTAAAGTGTTTACAAATGTATCTCTCATTAGAAAGTCTTTCAGCAAAGTTTCTCCAATTGCTTCTCGTGAAACATAACTTTCTATAAGAAACACTAGCACTGTTTATTAAAACTAATTGAGAAGAAATTTACAAAACTACGTAGAAACTACTACTCTGTATTGATTGGATTTCTTAGGGTGATAAATTAAGTAGGGTGGAAGGATATTTACACTCCCGATGCCTAAAATTTCTCAATGTTTTTTTTTGAAGTATCTAAATCATTTACCTAAATTTATTCATAAAATCTTAAATCATTTTTTAACATAAATATAGTCACTCATACAATGATTGGGCTTTAACTCTACTGTGCTAGTGATATATTTTAACAAAAATAACTATAACTCTACATATTAAAACAATACTAAACAAATGTTTATATAGTCATATCGATATTAATTCTCGTACATTAATCAAAGTAATATTAATGCTCATACATGAATTAAGATAATACATGTGTGGAAATAAAATATGAATCAAAAGAGTTATAAATCAAATAAATGAGAATATAAATAAAAAAAAGAGTGAGTTATGAACCAAAATAAATGACAATGCACTGACAACTTACATCAATTTGAACAAATTTTGAATGGGAAGTACCTGAGAAACCATGTCATTGAGAGCCATAGCCAAGAGCTCCCAAATGTAGCAACACTCCTTGCTAGTTGGATCTTCACTGCGCCGTCCCAAGAGCGTCAGAACCATGCATCCTCCACCCACCAATTCTTCAGCCCGACATCGAAGAAACAACGAAAAATCCGTTTGAAATTGGTCGTAGTAAGCCTTCAGCACACTGGCGGGGCTTGTTTCAGCCATGTAAATGTTTCTCTTATTCTCCTCCAACCCTTCGGGGACCTTAGACAGCCAATGAAGGCTGTAGGAAGAATGAATAAAATGGACACTCCTACTGGGAAACAGCCTGCCATAGAAGGAGCCAGGCACCCCAGTAAAGAGACAAGGCCCAACATCATCTCCCATCTCCCTTTTGAAACTTTCATGGAAACTAGGGAGGGCCTTGAAAATGGCGTTGAAGTCATTGCCTGGTAGGTCGTTTAAGAATACTTGATATTCAATTGGGTTGTTGCAGAGGTTTCTACGAATGTTGTCCACTGTTTTAATGAGCTGGGAAACTGCCATTAAGGTGTTTGGTCCTGAAGAACATCCTAAATCAGCTATGGTGAATGTTGTTGGCAAAGCGGAGCAGTAGAGGCTGCTGATGGCTTCCTCTACAATTGGCCTCGTCATTGATATCACCTTCAGCTGTAGCAAAACCCAATTTTTTTTTTACTACAATACCATTATTAAAAAATAAAAATGGTTCAATTATATTTATTATTTAATAAGAGTGGTTCGAGTTAAAAAATTCACGACTCAAACTATTAGGCTCACGAACGTAACTAACCTGGAGAATGGAATTGTTAGCATAGCTAAAATCTCCGACTCCTCCGTTCATGTGAAGAACTCGAACTACTTCCATTTTTTCTTTTTGTTCTCAAATTTAGTTGTTTTCTTAGGATGGGATGTGGTTTGGTCGGGGAGAAAGAACTTGTATTTATAGAGTTCTTGTGGGCCTTCAATCAATATTAATCACAAATTTAATTATTCAGTTCAAATTAATTTATATATATTTTATTAGCTTTTATTTAATGCTTATTTTTGTGGTTGCTTGGTTGATGTGTGGACTTATCAGAATTTCACACCTAAATCAAATAATTGAAAACCATTGAGTTAGGCCTTCAATAAATCATAAAATATGTATTACAAATTATGTGGTTGTGTAGCCACCTTTTTTTGCCAACTAATTATCATAATTTTAAAATTAATTTAAAACGAGAATCGAACAACCTCTCTTAATCGAGGCTCAACTCCTTTCTCTCGAGCCCTCGAACAAAGTACACCATTAGTTCGACACTTTAATCACTTTTTTACTACACCGTCGAGATTCACAATCTTTGAGGATTCTATTGTCATGACTAAATTTTAGGGCATTACTCTGATACTATGTTAGGAACCACGGATCTCCATAATGGTATGATATTGTCCATTTTGAATATAAACTCTCATGTCGGGTTTCCCTAAAATGACTCTGTCAATGAAGATAGTGTTTCACTCTTCTAAACTCAGGATCATTCCTTAAATTAGGGAATATAGAACTCACTCCCAACAATTTTCAACAAAAAAAAAAAAAAAAAAACCAGACAATATCTTCAAAATTATCAAATTATTGTCTGGTTTTACCATAAATGTGTCCTTTAGGATAACAAACTTGAAACGGGAGTCTGAGCGACAGAGAACGTTGTCTACACTCGATTTCAGCCCATAACAAAAGAAAAAAAAAAATTGTTCGATGAATCTATAAACCAACCCATAAATTTTGTATTTATTTAAATGAAATTAAATCTAAATAAGTTGATAATATATTATATTAATTGGATTAGGTTGAAACTTACAAAGAAAAAAAAAAATTATGTTTCGGCCCAATTATATAAATTGGGCCGTAGAATTGAACTGCAAAACCTATCTGAGCCGGCCCAAATTCTGGCTTCATGACGTGTGTTTCCGGTTTTATTTTACTAATCACAAAATAAAAAGAAATTTGTCTCATTATTTTGAAAATTAAATAAAGAACTAAATATAAAATAGAAAATTGTGAATGGCAGAAGGGTAATTAACGAACACATGGAACACAAATCTTCATTAATTTGGAACATAACAGAACAACAACATATTTTTCTGCAAACTAAGATTTACCATGTTTCTCTCACTTCATCTTAGTGAGAGAAATAGTGACATTGACGAACTCAGGCTTCTCCCTGGCCATTCGATCCACGATAATCTCTCCATATCTTATGAATAATTCATCCATAATTGCTTCCCCAAAGTGGCTTACTAGAATTGGCTCAGCCACTGCCCTCATGTACTTGGCTACGTTGTACCCACCAGCTCTTAACCCATTGGATTCATCGTTGTTATTGTACACATTCCAATCCACCTTCGAAACTTGGATTCGATTAACCACAAAAGAGCCTTCTTTTCCGATCTCGATACTCATTTCGGTTGGTGATGGCATGTACTTGGGAAGGTTGAAGCTGTCCAGCTTCTCCTCTTCTATGATTCCCTGTGTTTGGTTGACGCAAACACAAAAATGATCAAAACCCTTTTGTGTGCAAGTTCGTGTTATCACATAATGCCACAATCAAAATGGTTCGATTTTCAATTGTTGTAGTGAGAGCAGAAGCAAGATCGATAACACTCACACGCCCACAAACAAAAATTAAACAAAAAGACAAAAATTTCCCTAAGGTGGTTGTGAAAAAATAAATTTCCCTAAGGTGGTAGCTAATCACTTATAACTATAGTGTTTATGAGTGTACCTCTCACACTCTTACATTATAACGTCTCTCAACAAAATTTCTCTGAATTGCCTCTAGACAAACATGAAATGACAATGATTCTACGTCTCAAAATAAGGCTAGACAAAACTTTGTATAGATGAAAATGAATCAAAAGAGTTATAAATCAAATAAGGGTTTTGATTTAAACGAGAGATGAACCAAATAAATGAGAACATAAACAAAAATAAATTATAATATATGTATGGGAGATGCATGAACTTATTCTTCGCCACAGTTCACAATGCTTTGTAAATTTTGATTGAAAAGTACCTGAGAGACCATGTCATTGAGAGCCATAGCCAAGAGCTCCCAAATGTAGCAACACTCCTTGCTCGTTGGATCTTCACTGCGTCGTCCCAAGAGCGTCAGAACCATGCATCCTCCATCCACCAATTCTTCAGCCCGACAGCGAAGAAACAAAGAAAAATCCTTTTGAAATTGGTCGTAGTAAGCCTTCAGCACACTGGCGGGGCTTGTTTCAGCCATGTAAATGTTTCTCTTATTCTCTTCCAACCCTTCGGGGACCTTAGACAGCCAATGAAGGCTGTAGGAAGAATGAATAAAATGGACACTCCTACTGGGAAACAGCCTGCCATAGAAGGAGCCAGGCACCCCAGTAAAGAGACAAGGCCCAAGATCACCTCCCATCTCCTTTTTGAAACTTTCATGGAAACTAGGGAGGGCCTTGAAGATGGCGTTGAAGTCATTGCCTGGTAGGTCGTTTAAGAATACTTGATATTCAATTGGGTTGCTGTAGAGGTTTCTACGAATGTTCTCCACTGTTTTAATGAGCTGGGAAACTACCGTTAAGGTGTTTGGTCCAGAAGAACATCCCAAATCAGCTATGGTGAATGTTGTTGCCAAAGTGGAGCAGTAGAGGTTGCTGATGGCTTCCTCTGCAATTGGCCTCGTCATTGATATCACCTTCAACTGTTCCAAACTAGCTTGAGTTAGTCCAAACAAAATTGGAATGATTTGAGTTTGAGTCCTCCAGTTGAGATATTGTCAACTTTGACCATTATGCCGTCACTCTAACCGTTTTAAAAAAATGTTTATTAGAAACTAATGTGAGATCTCTTAATCCACTCCTTTAGAAGTCGTCCAGTGTTTGACTTTGATATTATTTATAACAGCTCATACCCACCGTGTTAATAGGTATTGTCAGCTTTGACCACATATCACAGTTCTAAAACACTTCAATTAAGGAACCATTATTAAAAACAAAAATTTGAATAAATGACAGCAATGATTCAAACCATCCAACTTAAAAAAAATTTATGGTTGGGTCGGGAGCTATTGGAGTAAAAAAATTTAGATCTCGAACAATTAAATTGAATCTAAAAAAATCCCGACCTCATTCAACTCAATGGAACATTGGTGTTCGAAACAGAAAATTGCTGACCTGAAGAAAGGAATTGTTAGCGTAGCTAAAATCTCCAGCTCCTCCATTCATGTGAAGTACTCGAACCACTTCCATTGGTCTCCTATTGTTCTCAAATTGAATACTCTTTTGAGATGGGATGTGATTTGGGCATGGAGGAAGTGGCTCGTATTTAAAGACTTCTAGTGGGCCTTGAATGAACATTAATCACAAATATTAATTATTTTATATTTATTTTTTCATTTTGAATTAATTCGTATTGATATTTTATTAGCTTTTGCTTGATGTTACCTTTCATGGTTGCACTCATCCATTTTAGTTCAAGTCTGAAAGGATTTCACACCTACCCAAAACGAATCAAATAATTGAAAAACGTGTAAAAAGTGTAAAAAATCGATATTTTTTCTTTACTATAAAATAAATTTGGACCATACTCTAAATTATTAAAAAAAAAAAAAAATCATATTTTTCGATTTGTTCAATAAATTATAAAATATTTAGTTTGAAAACGTTTATTTATTTTACTTCGATTAATAAATAAGCGATAATTTAATTATAAATTATAAATTTATGGGATTTAAATTATTTTTTTTATCATTGGTTGGATCCATTGGAAATTATGTTTTTGTTTTTATAATTTAATTATTTTTTTTTGAGCTGGAAAATAATTTAAAACAATAAAAATTAATTAAATATTCCTCACATTTAAAATAATTTAAAAACGAGTAAAATGTCTATTTATGCTCCATTTTAAATACGAAAAATAAGAATAATAATTGAACACGTCTATCTTATTTTTAATTTATAAGAATAATAAATAATAAAAGGATAATAATCAATTAATTTTTATAGGAAAATATTCTTAAACAATTTTTTTAATGTAACATTGTTTTGAAATAGTCAAATAGACGAAATTTAATTATTACCAACTTTATGATCTACAAACATTTTTTAACTTTTAAGACAAACAAAGACCCCATTCACACGTGTATTTAACTAACTTAATCTAATTTATTTTAATTCAATTCAATTCAATTATACGCAACGGACTTGCAATTGTGCAGTACTCACTTTCCAACGACAAGTGAGCTAAGCCAATTCGTTCTTGCGTCGCCTACGGCCAAGCGACATGCTCGAGCCTCTGGCCTCGGTTTTAAGAGAAAGTTTTAGAAAGTGAAGGCATAGAGAGATTTTTGAGAGAGACGTTATAGAGAGAAATAACAACAACCTTGAGTAGGGAGAAGTTGACAACTAGTCGTATCCCTCTATAGTACATTCTGAGGCATTTCATGTCTGAAACGTCATATTTACTAGAAATACAAAAGTAAACACTAGAATATGAAAAGATATAAAGAGTTGGGTTTGTCATGGGCATGCAGCCATGGGCAACACGCCTTAGACGAGCATGACCGTGACATTATATCGGTTTCATAACTTTTTTTTTTTTTTTTTGTCATAATTTTATATAAATTTTTTAATTATTACAAACTTACCTATCTACAAACATCTTTAATATTTTTGTTTTTTTTAATACAAACAAAGACGGCATTCACACATGGCCTCTAACTAATTTAATTCAATTTGACTCGGGATTATTTCCGTTTCATAACTACTTTTTTTGGTCATAATTTATATAAATTTTTTTTTATAAACAAATGGAAGTATGAATGATCCGTTTTTCGAGACTATTTTTCGTCTTTAAAATGTTAAATGTAATTTTAAAAGGAATTATTTATTTTGTCAGGCTATATTTTTTAAAAAAAGAAAAATATAATTTTAAATTCGAACTCGATGGGCCTAAAACATATTGTTTGAGTTTGGATGGGTAGCCCGAGCGATTTTCGTACATGTTTTCTTTTCCCGAACATCGCTCGGACACCTTCTCGGTAGAGTAGAGGAGACGATTAGAATAACAAAGACAATGTTGTCTACACTCGAATTAGCTTTCGAGAACTCGAGAAGTCTCTAGTTAACTCTAACTTCATTTTGATGTTCAATTGCGTGCATTTTTGTTAGCATCAGGCTATCGACAAAATCTAATCACGACTCTCCATAATGGTATGATATTATCTATTATGAGTATAAGTTCTCGTGACTCACTCTCAACGACTAAGTGAATAGGATTCATCTCAAAGAGAGAAACCCTTTACCAAGTTTCTTCAATTTCCAATTGGTTTGCCCCTTGCAGCCCTAGCCTTCTTCAATCTCTCGATGTTTCTCATTCTAGCGAAGATCCTTCTAATTTGATACAGCCTGCGGGATTGTTGGGTTATCACGTTCGCCGTTGAAGGGTTTTGGCTCAGGATTATCTCATATCCGTCGCGAAAAGAATCCATTCCTTCGGTCAATAGCTGCCAGAAGAGGCCTCCAGCGGCGGCGCCACCCCTTCTCGCAGATGAGTATATTTTGGAGTATACGGTATTGAATAGAACATCTCTTCCTTTTGTGCTGAAACCTGGAACCTTCCATGATTTGCCAAATTCTGTGAGGAGAATTGGCTTGTGTAGTATGTATTGTGCATCTTGTATGTGGGTTGATATCCAATTGTTTAAGAATGATAGCTGGTATTGTTGATTTGAGCTTGATAACCTGTGGATTTGAATTTGGGTTTAAAATTTTGTGAGAACTGACATGGATTGGTTTTGAAAGTTGTGAGTTCTTACCATTGATCTGGATAGGAATGAAGAGTAGCAAAATCAATGCCTGGGATTCTGTTGTTTGCAATGAAGTCTGTCCCAATGTTAAAACCTGGGTTCAGTCTCATTCTTTGAGGTGATGAGTGTCCATAGAACCCTTCTAAACCTGCTTCTAGCAAGTGGTTTCTGTCAATGGATTTCACAAAGGAAGCCATTTCCATGATCCAAGCCTACATTTAAACAACAGTGTAAGCGTTAGGATTCATTAAACGCTTAACTTATTGTAACAACTCAAGTCTACCGCTAATAGATACGGTTTGTTTTGGCTCGATACTGTCTACTAGTGAGAGGTTTCCACACCCTTATAAGGAATGATTTGTTCCCCTCTCCAACCGATGTGAGATCTCACAATTTGCCCCCCTTGGGACCCAACGTCCTCGCTCGCATACCGCCCAGTGTCGATTCTAATACCATTTGTAACGGTGTTTGCTAGGGAGAGGTTTCCACACCCTTATAAGGAATGTGCTCCCCTCTCCAACCGATGTAAGATCTCACAATCCACCCCTCTTGGAGGCCTAGTGTCCTCGCTGTCTGGCTCTAATACCAATTGTAACAGCGTTTGGTAGGGAGAGGTTTCCACACCCTTATAAGAAAGGCTCCGTTTCCCTCTCCAACCGATGTAAGATCTCACAATCCACCCGTCTTGGAGGCCTAGCGTCCTAGCTAGCACACCGCTCGGTGTCTAGCTCTGATACCATTTGTAACAGCCCAAGTCGACCGCTAGCAAATATTGTCCGCTTTGACCCGTTACATACCAGTTTCAAAACGCGTCTATTAGGAAGAGGTTTCTACACCCTTATATGGAATGTTTCGTTCCCCTCTCCAACCAACGTGGGAGAGGTTTTCCACACTGCTTTGCCCTTCTCCAATCGAGTTTTCCACACCGTTACGGATGGATAGAGCATTATAAATTCTTGGATAATGAAAGCAATTGAGCTTCACTGAACCTTTTCCTGATAACTCAGATCCATGAAGGGGAAAACTAGAACTCACTTGGATTGTTCTTCCAGATGGGTCTGATGTGCATCTAGGCTCATTCATAAGCTCCCAGGCCATAATTGTTGGATCATCCTTGTAATGAATTCTACTAAATCTGTTGTATCTGTAAAGAACGGTCTGAACAAACATGAAATGAGCTTCTGCTTCTGTTCTTTCTTTTATGAAGAAACGAAAGAACAGAGGAAATTTCACTCACCCTGACATGGTTTTTGTAGAATCCCTTCACGACAGGATTCCTGAAGAAATCATCATCAGAATTCAGGTACTGTCCCTTACTTCTTGCCCAATTTACATACTGTTTTTTCCCTCCAAAGTTTTCATAGTTGTTAACCAAGCTCAATATCAGCTTGATTCCAAACCTCCTGGCCTCAGCTACAACAAAATCCAACCCCTGTGGAAGAACAACATAAATCAAACCAAAAAAAGAACATAAAACTGTCTGAATCCTGAAACATACCTGAAACATTTGTTCATTGTAGTTGCCAGGAGCATATTGAAGAGGTCTATACCCACCATCGCTGAAAGCCCAAGTTCTAGCAACCGTAAGGCCATGGCTTGAGGCCTCACGAAACACGGCGGAGACCTTCGACCTCTGAGATGGGTCGGAGGCGACATACATTAACCAGTAGGCATTGAAGCCGTTTGCATAGTAAGGACTACCATTCAGCAGAAAACGAGCTCCCCCAGTTCTGACAAAACCATCTCCTGCAACACCATGAACCAAAATAGCCAATAACAGAGACAAAGCCCAAAGCTTCATGTCTGTTCTTCTGATTCTATCAATGGATGTGGAAGGACTTCGGCTACTTTCTGAGCATAAATGGGAGTGGAAGGTTGCTTTTTGATGAGCCCCACAGTAGAAGAATCGTAGTGGAAGCTCTTTTAAAGCTAAAGATTATGCATCAATTGCGGCATTTAGCATGTTTAGAACTTGAATTCGATCCTAATTAAGTCCCTGATTCTCCTACCGACAAAAAAGGCAGCTCCCATTTGGAGTTTTCTTGAAAATGGGCATACCCACATGAGTTCCAACAGGTATTGTTCGAGCTTTGATCTGGTGCATTATGTGATTATGGTATATGCTAAACAGGAATTATGATGCTAATCTTGGTGATGCTGAGAGTAAAATGATGAATAATGATAGATTATTACTGTGGTTGTAGGTGAAAAGGTGTTGTTGATGGGGGGTTTGAGGAATTAATGAAAGTTGAGTGGTGTGAAACGTGAAATGGAGAAACTTTAGGGCTAGATGGCAAATCGTCGGCGCAATCTACGGAAGAAGACAGGTGTGAGTGTGATCTACTTTCCCACCAATCCCAACCGTATCCTTATCCTGCCTACTTTCTTCTTTTGGGCTTGGGCTTGGGCTTGGGCTTTGGGCCTTTCTTTCAAGCCCAAGTTCTTAGAATAATTGAGATTAAATATGGTAGAAACCATAAATAA